AACAGTTACTTATAACTGATTCATTTAACACAGACTGATCATAGGTTTAAAAACAAATATATTTAGACGGGAAAACACTACTGTGTTGGTAAAAACAGTGAGGTCTTTAGCAGTGAGAACCACGACTCGGGTCTTACGAGCGGTCGCCAAAAGTACGTTAAAGTTAGCAACCGCCAGCAACAAAATTCAAACAATGTTAGTTGTGCACAGATTAGTGAGCAAAGCGAACGGAATTGAGCCCTTGTTTACAATCAAAAATAATGCTCATTACGCTTGCAAACGAAGAATGACGCAGCGATAGTGAATTAAAGTAACAGATTGGCTGCAGATTGCACCATTACGGTAACGATAAATGAGAGCAGAGAAATGACAGCTATTCTAAGCTTTTGNAAAAATAAAAAATGTCTTACATGGTTGGAGGTTGTCCAATAAGTATGCTAGTAGCTTTTGCGTTCCATTCGGTTCATTGTAGATGACAAGAAGCTCTTGAGTCAAAGGGTTGTTCTTTAAACCTAGCAGATTAAAACACAACAGTGTAAGTGTAAATAATGAAATTCAACTTGATGATTTATTAATACCAAGATTCTGTAGCTGAAAAAGCTTCCCCAATTCATATGGCAAACTTCGCAGAATGTTGTTGTTAAGGAGCAACTCCCGAAGCATTATCAAATCGCCAATCTCCGCTGGTAGATTTCGGAGTTTATTTGTAGATAAATCTAGGTATTGCAAAGAGGTGAGCTTGCAGATATCTGGTGGAACACGAGTCAAGCAGTTGTCGTTGAGATAGAGTGATGTCAAATGTGTCAACGACCACAGCTGGGGGCTCAGGTTTCGTACAGAGCCTAAAGTGCGAAGTAAAAAGACAAATAGAAAATTAGCTGACTGGTGCCATTTTGAGCGAGTGTCAATGAACTTACCAGTAATTTCCAGCTCGAACCATGCAGTCTCTTTTCCGTTGGCATCATCGGCCTGGAGAATGACATGGCTTCGACGAGGATTAGGCGGTTCATACTTTTCTCGATCCCGGTGACTTGGTCGAGACATTGGGGAGTTGATTTTTATAAAGGAAAGGTTTCAATAATTGTAAATATATCTTCAAATGTCCTGACAAAGTGAATGAGATGAGAACCCAATATTATTGCGGAGTGTGTTTGAGAGTAGAGCTTGTTTTGTCTACCAGTGACGTTTGTGCACGGACTTGGAGGGGTACAAGATGTGCAGTGCTGCCCAATTCTCTCAATCAAACTTGGTTTTCGTCCATTGTGAATGAAGTAATCAATGCCCACCTGCAAACCACAAGGAAAATCACAGTCCCTTATAGTAAAAAGAATATTTAAGGACGGTCGATTTCCTATTTAATTATTATGTAGCCCCTAAAATCCAGCCACTTTGTCAGCCAAGGTGACGTCTATTTTACTGTCAGCTGCAAAAACAGTACGTGGATAGATAGATATAGCTTATTTGATTTACAAAAACAGGCTAATTTTTTCGCTCAGATTTGAAAAATATCATTACGTTTTTCCAATGATTGTCATTGAGCTGAGCAAAGCTTACAAAAGTAAAAAAAGAAAGACTTTCTTTTGTAGTAAATCACATTGCAGACAACCCACATAAATTTACAAAAACACTTTACTA